CTTTGGGGAAAAAGTAAATTTATAACGAAGGGTTTTCTTTGTTTTGAATTTATTTTGAAATATGTTCAGATATAAAATAAATACTTTGAATAGCATCAACATTGGTTCCGTTGTCATCTGTTCTTCATTGCATTCTGCTCATATCTTTACTTCACCTATTTTTCTTCATCTGGCTGTAAGATATGTTATCTCTTGATGGCTATTAATTTTATTCAGACTAAATTAAGCTCGTGTTTTACTTTTATCCTCTCTGTAAATGCATTATTCGAAGAAGTTCCATCAATTGCCAACGATGAGTGGAATTCAGCACAATTTTGTTTTTACAGAATATGCTACCTTATCTTTTTCTATGTCGGAGATTGCTTGTGTGTGTAGCTTTATTCTGTTTGTGAACCATACATGACGACTGTAATCGTTATGTGGTTGCATTACAATCATTTTCTGTTTCCACAGGTCCTGTTTTTAATGTACCATTACTTGCTGCTACTGGATTTACAACGCGATACGTATCTTTTGCTGCATATGTTTGGATGACTGGGTTCGGTAACTTCTCCTACTATTACATTAGAAAGGATTTTAGCCTTCCACGCTTCGCTCAGGTTTCTTTTCTTCTCTGACTGTTAGCATTATTTACTGCAACTGTAATAAGTTATGATTTTTTTTTTTTTTTGAAATATAACATTCATAACAATCTTCAAAATCTTTATTGCTTGATGCAGATGATTGGCGGCTGAATTTCTTTGTGGCATTTTGCTGTATTGTTCTCAACAATGACTATATGCTGTACTATATCTGCCAATGCACACGCTTTTCACCATAATGGTGTATGGAGCTGTTGGCATTTTAACAAGTACAATGAGATAAGATCAGTGATGATTGTGAAGATTCTGGCATGCTTTCTTGTGGTCATCTTGATTTGGGAAGTTCCTGGAGTTTTTGATATACTGTGGAGTCCTTTTTCATTTTACTGGGTAAGTAACCTAGCAGATGCAGAGCACCGAATCCATCCCTCAAGTTTTACTACTTTTCTTGTGGGCATGCTTTTTAGTGGTAAACTTGGTTTATTTTATGGCCTTCTTCGCTTTCCTCATACCTTACTTTGAATGAAGTTCAACTGCTTGTCTTTTTGATATTTCATTTATTTAGAACTTGAATTTGGTTAATTCAGGCTAAACCCAATGTTTGAGTTCAAGTTGACTTGCGTATCCGATATGTTTCATTGTCATTATGTTTTGTCCTATGGCAGGGTATAGTGATCCTGGAAAACTGGATCTTCCTCGACTGCATGAGTGGCATTTTAGATCTGGACTTGATCGCTATATATGGATCATCGGAATGATATATGCCTATTGTCATCCCAATGTAACTTCTTGAATGTTTGGTGATCTTGGATTTCTTACTTCTTGATCTGACAATCAAACATCTAATCTTTAAGATGGTTAAACTATGGTTGAGAAATGGATGGAGAAATTGGAGGAATCCGAACCCAAGAAAAAACTCTCAATCAAAACAGGCATTGTCAATTGCTTTATTGGTGAGTTGCATGCTATGTGACCATGTTACTGCTATTGACTACTTAAATATGATAAATTAATTTTGTATTTATTCACGTTAGAGGTTTAATGTCTTTCGGGTTACTTTGTAGGTTGTTACTTATGGTATGAAATCACTACAAGTGGACAAAGTTACATACAACAAGTACCATCCATACACTTCATGGATTCCCATTACGTATGTACACAGGATTTTTTGGTGCAGCATGTATTAGGGAGTTTTATGGGTGGTTGTAGAAATAGTTGATCATCTAAGGAGCTTATTCAAGTTTTTACTCTTCTTTTTGTGATTCCAGTGTTTACATTTGTTTGCGGAACTTCACTCAACAGCTTCGGAATGTGTCTTTGACTCTTTTTGCGTATGTTCTTTGACCATTATAATTAAATTAATTGTATGATGTTGGTTAAAGGTTAAATTTTATTCTTTTGCGTACATATATATATATATATATATATAGTATTTTGTCTCTAACAGCACAACCCGTCATACCAGGTGGCTTGGCAAGATAACTTTGGAAACCTATATCTCGCAGTTCCATATCTGGTTGAGGTTGTGGACAAAATTGTTTGCCTTTTTTTTCCTTATTGTATTTCTGTATTCACTGTATTAACCTTACTATGTTATGGTGTTACCTTTATCACATATTTACCGTCATTTATTTTCTTTCTTTTGGTTCCATTAAAATGTACAGAAATGGAACTCTGTTCCATAAAACAACATACTTTTTCTTCTTCTGGAAACATGAAATACATCATGATTTAGCATACCCTAAGTATTGCCCCAAAAGCAAAGAATTTGCTATTCTCCAAAATTATTGCAGATGATTTCTCACATCTAGTATGTGTTTGCAGATCAAACATTCCTAACGGACAACCCAAGTGGCTCCTTTCTTTTATCCCAGAATACCCTATGCTCAATTTCATGCTTACTACTGCTATTATGTCTTGGTAAGTAAATTTTCTTAATTTTTTTATCGTTCGAGAAAATTGTTTTAAATTAACTTTTTTATTTTTCTGGCATTGTCTTGCTGTCTTGACTTGCTTCTGCAGGTATCTCACAGACTTTTTGAATTAACCAATACACTCAAGATAGCTTTTGTACCTACAAAAGACAATAAGCGTGCTGCTTCTAACTTTCTCGCCGGAGTTGCAATTTCTGTGTGCTTGTACTGCGTTTCACTCATTTTGTCTTGATCCCTCATTCACCAGTAAGTTTCTTGCGAACACTTGAGAAACAGCAACAATTTCATCAACATTAATCATATTCCCATACTTAGCCTTTGCTTAAAATAGTAAAACTTCGTGCTAGTTCTCTTAACCTTCTGTAATTACTTTAATACAATGATACTGTTACAGGCCTGAAAAATTAAAGTGAAAGTTGCACAGGGTTTTGTATTGAAGAATGCAAAAACAAGTTAGGTTGAGTGAATAAGGGGGTTTGGAAAAATGTTGCTCAATGATATCACTTACCAAGCAAATGTTTTTCGAATATGAAAAATTGTTTACGTTATTTCCATAAATAAATATTAATATCCGGTTTTGTTTAACTGTCAAGCTATCTAAACAAACCATAGTCTAAAGACAGCAGTCCATTACACTAAACAAGTAATTAAAATCTACTTAACACATTTTAAATTTAGTTAATTTAATCTCAAAAATCGTTTAAATAAAACGGTTAGGTGCTTTCCTTCACCTACACTTCTTAATTATGTTTAACCTATACGCTAACTCTCTACACTAATTAATGCACTAGTTCTCATTCAACCAAGTAATCAATATCAACGGTCAGGATAAAACTTCCACTCTCTTGATTTGACTGTTCACCAACAACCGTACGTAGTTGTTATGATCAACGCTCAGGGTCAGAGTCTCAGAGTCAACGATTCTATTTTTATTACTTTACTTATTAGGCTTAGATCTCCTCCAATTTTTTCTTGGTTTTATTTATTTTAATTACTTGCTCCATTTATAATATTAGTGGGTATAGATTAAGTAATTGCATTTGGTTTTGACAAATATTTTATTACCAAAAAATTTTTTTTTTATAAATTTTTATTCACAATCCTGACATAACAACTCATAATTGGTTAGTTTGTAATGGATCTTTGAGAGCTGACCAATTGCAAACTATCATGTCAAAATTGTGAAAAAAACAAATGATAAGATTATGTAATGAGCCAATCTCTATTGATAAATTATTATGGTGTTTGTATAAATAATTAATGTATTTTGTTGATAGTAACCATAAAATACTTGAATGTTATTTTACGGAAATACCTTTTATTTATCTGTGTTCGGAATTGTTATTAAGTAAGGACAAAATTGGAACAAAAATAGAATTCATATTACTTGAGTAATAAAAGATTACTAGGGTGCGTTTGGTTTGTTATTTTGGATAGGATTTTAGGGGTAGTATTAGATAATTGAATATGGGAGTATTACGAGGTAAAATTTATAAAAAAACCCCATAAGTTTGCTAATTTAATAAATACCACAACATGTAAAATGACAAAAATACCCCCACCACCTGCAGTGCCAGATTCCAGCCACCACCGCCGGAATCTGGTCGAAAAATCGCGTTACGACACAAACCGGTCAGATCTGTGTCATAACTCATTATTATGGCCTTTTCCAGCCAGATCCACCGCGGATCTAGCTGGAAAAGGCCAGATCTACGGCCTGCCGTGGCTGTCGACTACCAAAAAAGGCCAAAACGACGGCCATCTTTGGCCTTCAGCGACGGCCAGATCTGGCATTTTCTGGCCAGATCCACGGTGGATCTGGCTGGAAAAGGCCAAATCGGTGAATTACCGTCCAGTTTCGTTTGTAATTCACCGTTGTGGCAGATTCCAGCTACCACCGATGGTGGTTGCTGAAATCTGGCAAGTATGGGTTACAGGGGTATTTTTGTTAATTTTTAAACTTTTTTTTAGGGGGTATTTAATGAAATTAATAATTTTTTGAGGTCTAAAAGTAATTTAAAAAATAAGATAATATTTCTAGAATAATGTATCAAGCATTATTTGGAGAATAGGATTGAGAATATGGATAATAATAATAAGCCAAACATGTCCCGACAAGATAATGATCCGATTAAAAGATACATTACGAAATAATCTTATGCAACCTTAGCTGAGTAATCCCAAGAAGCATCGCAGTAATCATTACTACTCTTTCATACTTATAAAATATATAATCAAGTAGAACGTTAGTTAATTAATTTTAAATTAGAGATACTGTTATTTAAGAGTTAAGATTAAGATGATATTTACTTAATTATCCTTTTTTTGGAAACATAAATATCCAATAATAAGATATTCACACGTACTCGTGATATTTAAAACATAATTACGTGATAAAATAGAATTAAATTATATAATAATTTTTGTTAATGGTAATATTATTGTTTAGCGCGTCAAAGCGAAAGCAAAAGAGCAACCAAAAACCAAATCCAACAGCAACAACAGCAGCATCAACAACAACAACAACCAGCGACCGTTTTAGAGAGCGGAGAGAAAGAAGAGAAGTGAAAACGACGCATCGTCCAACATTTTCTCTCTTCTTTAAGCAAACTCATTCTCTTCGTTTGGATCTATTACGCTACGCTTTTTAATTTCTTTTTTCTAACTCATATTTATCACCATGTCCTAGACATCACTCCTTCACTCCTTGCTTTTACTTTCTGTTTCTGCTTCTTCTTCTTCTGGTACTTCACCTTATTGATCTCAAATTCAAATTTTAGATTTTAGATTTTAGATTTTAGATTTTAATTTTAATTTTTTTTAAATGTTCCGGCGTTGATATCTAATGCGCATTGATTTGCAGTTTTACGGATCCAAAATGGTGGTTTCCGGGTCAATCACGCCTGGACAGGTGTAGTTTCATTCAGTTTCTTCGTATTATTTGATTTTTCTTCTAATGTTAATTAAACGCGTTTTTATTTGAAGACCTTGTTTTTTAATTTTGACTTTAGTTAATTACCTGTAGATCTTCTGGATGCAATGAATTTAAGTTGTAATGCAGAATTTTTTGTATTTTTTATTGATTATAGTTTGATGATTTAAGTTCTAAATTTGGAAAGTGAAGCTAGTTGAGCAAGATGGAGGCTTTTAGTTAACATCTAGTTAATTGCGAGTTTCTGGTAACTGATTTTCAAGTAATGCACTTTGATTACTGGATTTGTGATAATGTCTTGGGCATGCAAAAGAGGTGTGACCTTGAAGATTGTGAGTAAATAGTTATTAAGGTTTGAAGTCATTAGTACTCATAGATCAGAACTATTTGTTGCAAACTCTTGATTATGTGTTGTGATATGATCTTGTGGCAACTTTATTCTAATGAATTGGCCTTTCGTGCCTTATGTTAGTCGTTGGATCATTTCTTGTGCTTGTTGTTCACCTTCCAACATAGCATGTTGACCGCCTAAGTGAAATCTATTGGATACAATTAATGAAATTAATTGGATACAGTTGATGACTATTAATAGGATTATGTGAAGCAATTTTTTCATTGTTGGATGTTCGAATTCGAGTGTTATAATTTGAAAAATCTTTTTCAGAGGGAATGTCTGTATGCTTAGTCTAACTTCTTGTCAGTTCAAGATAGATATTTTATACTTTTTCAAATTATCTTGTACATATTTTACTGAGGGAACTGTAATTTTATCTGCTTTACTAAGGTAAGCTGATGGCAATTTGTTCAAAGTTGCTATTCTGTATCATTGATTAACTTTATTTTTTTCTGAGTAATTGTTACCTGCATACATAACAAAGCTCTTGTTGCATGTTTCAGGTGTCATTTCTGCTCGGAATAATCCCAGTATTTGTTGCATGGATATATTCAGAGTTTTTAGAATATAAAAAACATTCATCTCATTCTAAAGTGTAAGTCGCTTTCCCACTTGCACGTGTTTACTTGGTGCAGTGGAAGATGGAAAATGGGTTTTATTATTTTATTTTTCTGCGTATATGAAAAGAGATTTTTTTTTTTTAATAAACATTGAATCGATTAAGTTTTTTGTGTGTATCTGGATGCAAGAATATGGAACTTCTGGAAAGCACCGTGTTTAGAACGAGTTTTCTTTTGAAGACTGGTCTGTTAAAAATTATCAGTAATAAAGTATCCTGTCATTCTGTAAAAAAGCAAAGGAATAAAAGTCAATCATCCATTCACTCTATACTGAATTTCTTTTTATCTATAATGTGGGGTAGATGTGCTTTCTCTTCCTTTCCAATTATTTTTGGCTCAATTGATTTCTGTTTGTATCTGTTGAGATCTGCCTTATGGCCCTCTTGCTATATGCTGCTCAGAGTTATGCAAAACCCACCACTTTTTGTTGTTTCTTATGGGAATGAAAAACAAAGTTAGGGATAATAGGGATGGTGGGCATCAACAGTATTTTATTTAGGACAAGATTGTGTTTATGAAAGGTTTTTTTGTCTTGATAGAACAAATTGTAATAAGTTTGTAAAAATTATAATTAGTTCTTGAAATGGATGCCGAAACATCTTAACACGTACGTTCCTTGGTTGCAGCCATTCAGACACCAATCTGGATGAATTGGAAAAGGAGACTATCAAGGAAGCTGATCGTGCTGTTTTGTTGGAAGGAGGCCTCACAAGATCAGCTTCTGCAAGGCTTCATAGTTCGTCCTTTAAAACAAACATGATTAGGTCACCTCTTGTGATGTGCTAAATTTCTTGGAATTTGTTATGGTTGTTGTCATAAAGTCTTTCTTACCTTTTCTCCACTTGGTCTTTCAGATTTCTGACCATGGATGATGCTTTCTTGCTAGAAAATCGGACAACTTTGAGAGCAATGTAAGTCATATTATTTTGTAGATGGGTAATATACAAATTTCTCTTTACTTATATATAGTACTAAATTTTGCATGCAGGGCTGAGTTTGGGGGAATTCTTTTTTATTTTTATTTATGTGACCGCACCAATGTAATTGGTTATTCTACCAAGGTACTTTCTTTATGAAACTGAAATATAAATCTTATGTTTATTTATTCTTTCATTTCTGATTGCTTTGCACTGACATGCCTCACTCAAGTGTAATAGTATAAATATGCTAGGTGGTTTTGGAAGGGCTCTGATATCCAGTTAAATTTGAAACATGTTCTGCATATCCCTTTTTTTCTTACTTTATTTTTTTACTCTCTACTATCTACTTCTTCTTCATCTTTTATTTAGTGATACTGTTACTTGTAAAAAGATATAATTGGGGCATCTTACCCTTTTCTTGTCAGAGGGGATATAACTTGGATGTGATAGTTTTTGTGCTATAGAATTTAAATGTTTATGCTAAGGGCAACTCATACCAGATAATTTTGTAATATAAGAACTTATTTAAGGCTTTATATTTATCGTGTTTTCTCTTTGTGGATACCATAGTCTTATCTTTTTATATTTTATTTATTTACTGATTTGGTGGGTTAGACAACATAGAGTTTATATGTACAGTGTCTTTCGTTAGAAGATAATAAACATGATGCTTAACCTGAAAATAATTGAAGCCTATGTGGCATATATCTTAGAGATTTTTATGTTACTGAAAAAATGATCTATAGATGAGGTTTCTAGGGTTGTGGTTTGTACTTGCATGTTGATAATCATGATAGGCTTGATTGTGCTGTGAATTCTGATATTTTATTTTCCTCTCTTGTGGGTTTTCTTTCACAGAACTACAATCGCGATCTTTTCCTTTTTCTCTACCTTCTTCTTGTCATAGTTTCAGCTATGACTTCTCTGAAGAAACATAATGACAAGTCCACATTTTCTGGAAAGACCATACTATACCTTAATCGGCATCAGACTGAAGAGTGGAAAGGATGGATGCAGGCAAGTATTTCTTAATAAAACTTGTAGCTTTTAAACAAATCATGCCTTTATCATGACTTTGGGGAAAAAGTAAAATTTATAACGAAGTGGTTTTCTTTGTTTTGAATTTATTTTGAAATATGTTCAGATAATAAAATAAATACTTTGAATTATGACGATACACACTTTCCATTTGCATTCTTGCTCATATCTTTACTTCACCTATTTTTCTTCATCTGGCTGTAAGATATGTTATCTCTTGATGGCTATTAATTTTATTCAGACTAAATTAAGCTCGTGTTTTTACTTTTATCCTCTCTGTAAATGCATTATTCGAAGAAGTTCCATCAATTGCCCAACGATGAGTGGAATTCAGCACAATTTTTGTTTTTACAGAATATGCTACCTTATCTTTTTCTTATGTTGGAGATTGCTTGTGTGTGTAGCTTTATTCTGTTTGTGAACCATACATGACGACTGTAATCGTTACGTGGTGGCATTACAATCATTTTCTGTTTCCACAGGTCCTGTTTTTAATGTACCATTACTTTGCTGCTACTGAGATTTACAACGCGATACGTATCTTTATTGCTGCATATGTTTGGATGACTGGGTTTGGTAACTTCTCCTACTATTACATTAGAAAGGATTTTAGCCTTCCACGCTTCGCTCAGGTTTCTTTTCTTCTCTGGACTGTTAGCATTATTTACTGCAACTGTAATAAGTTATGATTTTTTTTTTTTTTTTGAAATATAACATTCTAACAATCTTCAAAATCTTTATTGCTTGATGCAGATGATGTGGCGGCTGAATTTCTTTGTGGCATTTTGCTGTATTGTTCTCAACAATGACTATATGCTGTACTATATCTGCCCAATGCACACGCTTTTCACCATAATGGTGTATGGAGCTGTTGGCATTTTTAACAAGTACAATGAGATAAGATCAGTGATGATTGTGAAGATTCTGGCATGCTTTCTTGTGGTCATCTTGATTTGGGAAGTTCCTGGAGTTTTTGATATACTGTGGAGTCCTTTTTCATTTTTACTGGGTAAGTAACCTAGCAGATGCAGAGCACTGAATCCATTCCCTCAAGTTTTACTACTTTTCTTTGTGGCATGCTTTTTAGTGGTAAACTTGGTTTTATTTTATGGCCTTCTTCACTTTCCTCATACCTTACTTTGAATGAAGTTCAACTGCTTGTCTTTTTGATATTTCATTTATTATTAGAACTTGAATTTGGTTAATTCAGGCTAAACCCAATCGTTTGAGTTCAAGTTGACTTGCGTATCCTGGATATGTTTATCATTGTCATTATGTTTTGTCCTATGGCAGGGTATAGTGATCCTGGAAAACTGGATCTTCCTCGACTGCATGAGTGGCATTTTAGATCTGGACTTGATCGCTATATATGGATCATCGGAATGATATATGCCTATTGTCATCCCAATGTAACTTCTTGAATGTTTGGTGATCTTGGATTTCTTACTTTCTTGATCTGACAATCAAACATCTAATCTTTAAGATGGTTAAACTATTAGGTTGAGAAATGGATGGAGAAATTGGAGGAATCCGAACCCAAGAAAAAACTCTCAATCAAAACAGGCATTGTGGCAATTGCTTTATTGGTGAGTTGCATGCTATTGTGACCATGTTACTGCTATTGACTACTTAAATATGATAAATTAATTTTATGTATTTATTCACGTTAGAGGTTTAATGTCTTTCGGGTTACTTTGTAGGTTGGTTACTTATGGTATGAATGCATCTACAAGCTGGACAAAGTTACATACAACAAGTACCATCCATACACTTCATGGATTCCCATTACGTACGTACACAGGTTTTTTTGGTGCAGCATGTATTAGGGAGTTTTATGGGGTGGTTGTAGAAATAGTTGATCATCTAAGGAGCTTTATTCAAGTTTTTAACTCTTCTTTTTGTGATTCCAGTGTTTACATTTGTTTGCGGAACTTCACTCAACAGCTTCGGAATGTGTCTTTGACTCTTTTTGCGTATGTTCTTTGACCATTATAATTAAATTAAATTGTATGATGTTGGTTAAAAGGTTAAATTTTATTCTTTTGCGTACATATATATATATATATATATATATATATAGTTTTGTCTCTAACAGCACAACCCTGTCATACCAGGTGGCTTGGCAAGATAACTTTGGAAACCTATATCTCGCAGTTCCATATCTGGTTGAGGTTTGTGGACAAAATTGTTTGCTCTTTTTTTTCCTTATTGTATTTCTGTATTCACTGTATTAACCTTACTATGTATATGGTGTTACCTTTATCACATATTTACCGTCATTTATTTTCTTTCTTTTTGGTTCCATTAAAATGTACAGAAATGGAACTCTTTCCATAAAAACAACATACTTTTTCTTCTTCTGGAAACATGAAATACATCATGATTTTAGCATACCCTAAGTATTGCCCCAAAAGCAAAGAATTTGCTATTCTCCAAAATTATTGCAGATGATTTCTCACATCTTAGTATGTGTTTGCAGATCAAACATTCCTAACGGACAACCCAAGTGGCTCCTTTCTTTTATCCCAGAATACCCTATGCTCAATTTCATGCTTACTACTGCTATTTATGTCTTGGTAAGTAAATATTTCTTAATTTTTTGTTATCGTTTGAGAAAATTGTTTTAAATTAACTTTTTTATTTTTCTGGCATTGTCTTGCTGTCTTGACTTGCTTCTGCAGGTATCTCACAGACTTTTTGAATTAACCAATACACTCAAGATAGCTTTTGTACCTACAAAAGACAATAAGCGGCTGCTGTCTAACTTTCTCGCCGGAGTTGCAATTTCTGTGTGCTTGTACTGCGTTTCACTCATTCTTGTCTTGATCCCTCATTCACCAGTAAGTTTCTTGCGAACACTTGAGAAAAAGCAACAATTTCATCAACGTTAATCATATATTCCCATACTTAGCCTTTGCTTAAAATAGTAAAACTTCGTGCTAGTTCTCTTAACCTTCTGTAATTACTTTATAATACAATGATACTGTTACAGGCCTGAAAAATTAAAGTGAAAGTTGCACAGGGGTTTTGTATTGAAGAATGCAAAAACAAGTATAGGTTGAGTGAAATAAGGGGGTTTGGAAAAATGTTGCTCAATGATATACACTTACCAAGCAAATGTTTCGCGATTTTGGGGAAAGATTTGCCTCCGTTACCATGGCGAAGCCAAAATTAGATGTTCGATTTGGGAGAGGCCGGCAAGTGGCACAGATATTTTTTTTTCTTTTTCTTGTAATATTGTGAATCGTTATATATCAATTTTTGTCCCTCATTTAAAAAAGAAAATGTAGGTTCCTGTGATATAGATTTATCGTCTGGCATAAAAAAAAAAAAAAAACCAAGGTTCAATACTAATGCAATTTTTATTGTGAATTCTCCTTGTTACATGTATTGAACAACAATAATTTGTATACTCAATTGGAATTTCTTTTACACGAACAAATACATTGTTGTGGTTTCCTTGAAAATGCTTTTTGGTGTTTTATTAGTGTTTATGGTAAAACACTAAAATTTGAGGGATAGACATTGTTATGGCCTTATGGGTTAGGACTTAGAATTGACCCATGAATTGAAGTTGACAGAGTGGTCCTCTATCATGGATTCATGGGAATCCGTGCTAAATGTGAATAATTTGAAGCAGCTCGTGTCAATATCGTTTATTAAATAGAGCTAACGATACGTTTGCACCCAAGAAATGGCAATAACCTTCTAGTATCACAAGCATAATTTTTTTAGTAATTTTCATTGTGAAAAAGGGTAAAATGGTCAAAATTCTGTTATTAGCGAGGATAAAATGATCAACAAACATTTGATTGTCGAAGAAGAAGAAAAGAAAAGGGACGGTACATGTTAGCGAGAGATGGCACATGTTAATAGCATCATCGTCGACAGTTTTTGTCATTTTGCGGCTGATCCCAATGTTCAAAATCACTTTCAAGACCACTCACAGAATTCCCATCACCTTCTCTACAAAGCACAAACCTCCATTTGCCGTCATCACTCACTATTTCCCACCACCCCCTCCATTCGCATAGTTGACTCTTTAAGCCGGATTTTTGGTTGATTTCTTTGCCAGAAATTCCCCTAGACACCACCATCACACTCCCCACAACCCACTCTACAAAACCCTTACTTCCATCACCGTCCCTTGCTCATCGATCGCTGGCCGTGCACCACGCAACCTTTCAAATTTTAAGCCGATTTTCGGTCATTTCTGGTGTCAGAAATCGTCCTTGCCATCACCAATCGACTCCCTGGATCTTCCTCTCCAAAAGCCCTAATGTTCTCGATCCCGTTTGCTTACCAATTGCCGACGATTGAAGCTTCCCCACTTTCAAGTTTTGATCGATTAATTGAGTTTGATTCGTTCGGTTTTTGTGTTTATTGGGTTGAAAGACAATTGAGGAATATTTATTTGCAGTATTTGTGATTAGTTGGTTGATTTTTTGGTCACCAGCACTCCCCAATGCCGACAATTGCTGGCAATAGAAGAGGCTAAAACAGAAAAGAAAAAAGAGGGAATTTTTTTTTTCCCCCCCTAAATCATTGTAGTTCCCACCTAAACCAGAGGAAAACATAGTATTTGGGTTGTAAAAAAATCTTTTAAAAGTCTGATGGTGGGCAAACATCAATGGACCATTTTTTGGGTGAGAAAAGTCGTTAACTCTTATTAAATATTAGCTTAATTAAGCAAATTTCTGTCTTTCTTTTATAATTTGAAATTCAATGTTGAGTTGTTTCAAATTATTGACAAATTGAAGTATTCATTTCAGTATTAGTTAGGCGTTTTCATAAGATTAAAACCGAAAAAATGATTAGAAGAGTTCAAATTTTGGCATGAAAAGTACAGGCATTTTTTATTTTTTTGGGTAAAAACAGTAATTGCCTTTAAAATATATGAATATATTAAGTTATTATGCGTTGCTATTGTGTTGAAAGGACAATAATGAGCGAAGGAGAAAACAATTGTAAAAGGGTATTTATGTCAAAAGCTGCATTGATTGACCCATTTATTTTAGTGTTGGGAGGATGGTTATTCTTGTTTTAACCCCTATATTTAATTAACTTAATTACTATATCCCTATTTTGCATTTTGTGAATTTCATAAGAAAGTCCAATGATACCAATGTACATACATAAATACATATATTTTTTTTTATTGAACAATTTAGATTAGCCACAGTTTCGACCACACCTCAAGGTTGTGATAATAGGATGCATTTTCTACCTATATAAAAAAGAGTAAACGACTTTTATCACCCAAGGTTTACCTTAATGACACTTTCCCACACAAAAAGTTTAAAAATACCACTTTCTCACTCAAAGTTAATTTTCCGTTACTACCCAAAACCGATTTCGGCAAAAATTCTCTTTGTCACCACCATTTAAACTTCCGGTCTCTTCTATACAAAACCCTTTTCACTTCGTCAATTGATTTCTTGCCAATTGCCAATCACTGCAAAACTAGGGTTTTGTGTTCTTAACTGATTTTCAATTGATTCTGACGACTAATATTTAATCGATCTCCATCATTTGATCAGCCAGTGTCAACTTTACAAAAACCCTCTTAACTTAGCTCCTATTAACTCGCTGAATACCAATTAAGAAAGTGAAGTATATCTTGGGTATTAACAGAATATAAATGTTAGATGAAAAAATTATATTTCCAAACTTTTTAGATGGAAAAAGTGGCATTAAGGAAAACTTAGGTGGGAAATGTCGTCTACTTTATAAAAAGCGGAGGAATCAGTTAAATGCAGATGATTGAATCCAAATAGGCCGGCAGGAATCATCTAAATTATAAATGACACGGCTCCCACTAAAGACAAGATTGTTGTCCTTGTTCATCCCAAATAAATGCTTAGAGCACAACGGTGACCAGAAAAGCATCCTGAAATTAAATAACATATGTTTTTCTCTTTACCAAAAGTCCATATGGGTTGCTGGTTTCGCATTCAGACAGATTACATATTATTGTCATTCGTTAATATTTTCAAGGGCCTCTCTCTCTTTCTTTCTGTCTCTCTGCCAAAGACTTGATCTTTTTTGGGGAGTTCCTTCTTCTTCAGTATTGACATGGGAGATTCTCAAGAACATGAAGTGCAGCTTCATATTGTAGGTAAGTGATGAGAGTCATAAGTTTTTGTTTTTGATCCACAGAGATACTTGCATGCATGGATGATGGCTTTTTGGTCATCTTTTTTAATTTTCCTTTTGTTTTTGGTCACTGAATCATAGAAGAAAAAGAAATAAATCCAAATTATTTTAGAAAAAAAAAAAAAATTTATAAATATGTACTCCCTCAGTTTTTTTATAAAAGTCGTTTTGAGGGTATTAATTTTTTTTTAAAATAAATGACGTTCTTTTCTTTCAATGTTTTATGGTCCACATCTTTATTCTTCACCCTGCCTCTTATCTCCTCTCTCTACCTTTTTCTCTGCCTTGCCCACACTCCTCTCTCTCTCTCTCTCTCTTTTTATCTATCTTTTCCCCTCATCTCCTCTCTTTCATAATTTCTCTCCCTTTATTTTAATATTTCACACGCGTTGCAGCGGGAAAAACAAAATTTTCCCACCTGCAATATGAGGAAAAAGTCAATTTTCTGCGTAGTTTTTGATTTATTAAAAACTATGTAAAAACTTAAAACGACAGTTATATTGAAATGGAGGGAGTATTAATTTGTTAGTTTCGTAAACTAGTAATAGATCAAATCTTGGGGTTGTAAACTAATTTCTCCTTTCTAGAACTAGAGGTGGGAAAGGCCCTGGCCTAGTCGGTCCTGGGCTGGGCCCAAATAATCAAGGACTATCTTAAGCCCATAAGATTTTTTAGGGCCCGGACCGGTCCATAGGACTGGTCATGGGTCCCATGGGCTTGCATAATATTTTTTTTATTTTTTATTTTTTTAAATTTCACTTTAACCCTTATATTCAATGCAGCAATGGGAAACTTTGCCTCACCACTGATCACCCTTGGATCAGAGTGGACCAAGATCGAAGGTGGTTAGTTGGTAGGTAAGGTTACGTCCGAGGCTCCCAGTAATAGCTTCCTCTCATATATACTTAAAACTTCGATGCAATGATGTCCCATGGTATGTAGCCAGTAAATAAACTTGATGTTACCTGCAGGCCAGGAAGACAAAGAAGGAAACTCATTCACTCGCCAAAGAAATTTGATGTGGTGGATCCGACTGGTCATCTATACAATCTTTGTTCTTGTTGGTCAGACTGTCGCCACTCTCCTTGGAAGATTATACTACGACAAAGGTGGCAACAGCAAATGGTTGGCCGGACTTTTGCTCACTGCAGGTTTCCCTGTTCTTATTCCCTTATATTTCATTTCATCACTACCTCAACATCCCATTTCCAACAATCTCAATCATAAATCTCCATCTCTTTTAGTTTTTGTATCGGCTTATATCTCAGTCGGCATTCTTTTAGCTGCTGACTCCATGATGTATTCAGTTGGGTACATGTACCTCCCAGTCTCCACTTATTCCCTCCTTTGCGCTTCTCAATTAGCTTTCAATGCTTTCTTCTCCTTCTTCCTCAACTCTTTGAAGTTCACTTTTCTCATTATCAACTCTTTGACCCTTCTTACCATTTCCTCCATTCTCCTCATCTTTCAAACCAATGACTCGACTGAATCAAGCGACAATGATGGTCAAGTGTCGAAACGACAGTATGCGATCGGGTTCATATGTACTCTAGCGGCCTCAGCCGGATATGGCCTGATTCTTTCACTTACACAGTGGTTTTTACACAAGGTTGTGAAGAAGGAAACGTTCAAGGTGGTTCTGGATATGATAATCTATCCAGCTCTGGTTGCCAGTTGTGTTATAGTTGTGGGGCTTTTTGGCAGTGGAGAATGGAAGGGTTTAAGCCAAGAAATGGAGGGGTTTAAGCTTGGGAAGGTGTCTTATCTTATGACTTTGATATGGACTGCTGTGTGTTGGCAGGTTTTTTCCATTGGCGCAATTGGGTTGATTTTTGAAGTGTCTTCAGTGTTCTCAAATGTTATAAGTACTTTGGGATTGCCTGTTGTTCCAGTTCTAGCAGTGGTGTTTTTCAAAGATAAAATGAGTGGGCTGAAGGTGGGGGCTTTGATATTGGCTGTTTGGGGGTTTGTTTCTTATGTGTATCAGCATTATTTAGATGACTGTAAGTCCAAAATTGACAGTAGAAATGCAAATGATGCTGCGAAAGCTTCCATTGTTGAGAGAAATAATGTTAGTGAAGAATGAGAACAAGGAATCAACTTGTAAACAGATACCCTTGACCTAATATTCTAGAAAACTGATCACTTGTTTACTCTACTCCATTCCATTGTATGAAATATTAGAAAATTAAATGAATGTTTTTTTTTTTTGGTAATCGAGGGTGTTTGAGCCAGTTTGCGTGTACCTCAATTAGTCTCCCAGGGCTCTAAAGTTAATGACAAGGTAAACCTCAAGTGGCTATCTCTATTAGCAATCAAGAGAAATCAAACTCAAGACTTTTTGAATAATACACTCAAAAGTCTCTATTGCATCACCAGCAAAGGTGGTTAAGTTAAATGAATGTTGATCTACCTGTTTATCAAAATCCAAATTATTGATATTATTTGCAAGTGTAGGAATTAGAACACGTGCTCCAAGATTGATTCAACATCTAAAAAATCTATGGATTGGTCTCTGCTTCATATCTCGACCAAACTCAGTCAATAATCTTCATGTCAAATTTGAATATTCAACTGAGTCCCAAATGCCCTTTAATTTGGTTTATCTTCTTCAGTTAATATTTGATTATTTGGTATTAAATTCTGTAGATGCAAAAAACCTACTGCTACGGAAATAGGGTATGATTTCGTGAGGTTGAGGTCATCAACAATCCGTTGCACCTGCGCACATAAGAAAACAAATGTGAAGCTTACGGAAAGCACCAGGGTGGTGTTTGTCGTAGGCACTTTGACGCTTAATTCAACAAGACTGTGTGAGTCTAATTTAGAGAGGGTAAGGGAAAGAGAAGGTTACCAGGAATCTAGCCGAAGATTAGGACTATAGCGATGATGTAAGGCTCTCGAGAGTGAGACTGTAAGGGTAGAAGGCTTAGTTTTTCGTACCTGTGAGAGGACTAGCCTCTTGTTTAAATAGTAGCTATAGGATCTTCGAGTTCTAGTTGGACTGCGAGTCCTTGAAAGTTGAGGTTTAGTGAGAAGGAAAGTATTTGACTCTCTTACCTTAGTGGGAAGGGGAGTCCCAATGGGTCTAAGATACAGATTTTAGATGAATTAGGATAGTAATGGATCTCTTTGATAGAATTCTGATGGTGCCAAAGTAAGTAGGCAACCTTGGGGTTCAAGTTGACCCTAAGTCCAGCAGGTGGCCTTGGATCAATGGGCCCGAACCAAGATAAGCTGATGATGAGGTCTAAAAGAATCGGGGCTTTTATTGATTGGGCTTAAGTAGTAAGCAACATGGTAAGTGTAATAAGCAGGTCTAATATGCGAACCCTGTCACGGGCCTAATCGGAATTAGGTCATGACTCCGAGCTTTGTTGTAGGTGTCTTCCCTTGGGCCTATTGGGGTCGAAGACATTTTTTGGTCCTAACAAATTCTTACATTTCTTTATGGAAGCCAATGGTTTCATAATAATTAACTTGAAAATTAAGCATGGTCTGATCTGAACTCGAAATAATGAAAACTATTTCTACAGTACTTTTTCAGGCTGAAAATAAAAAAATAAAAATGATTGTGAAAAATTAACGGGCAAAATCATATCACCTTTTTTGATAGACTTTAATCAAACTCGAATTAGAAACATGATTTGCCCCCTTCTTATGGCCTTCGATCAAGCCCCAATTAGAAACACTCATGGTGGCGTATATATATATGACAAATTAATTTCATCTAAATATAATTAATCTCTCTGTCCGTCACTCTGTCTCCTTCTAGCTTAACAGCTCGGAAGTTCTTCAAAAATATATACTTCTGTTGATGTGTGATTTTGACAACAACCAAACGCACGTGTGAAATGTTGAGCTGGCCCAGAAGACACATGTGGATGAAATAGACGAGAGTAAAAGTAATGGAAAACAATGTTTAAAGTGGTTCGAATGCTTAAGGAATCAAGTCCTATGTCCACTGATTTAGTATTAATAATAGTGGTCAGGTCGCGTTCAGCGGACTGACTTACAAATGATTAAACGAAAATGAATGCTATTTTTTTTAAGAGAGATTAGCTAATCCCTTAAATGAGAGAGAAGCTGTCAATTTATAGTGGGATGATTTGAGGTTATGATTACTAAATCTGTGAATTGGTGAGATTATCCGTGCAAATCCTTCTTTATGTCCCATTGCCCACCTTCCAGAGTGATTTATGCGATTTGGTGCATGGATTAGAAACGTGGAATCGCTATAGCTCCTGGCTGGTCTGACGCGCACCCACTGCCCTGACAGGAGTATGCCGTCCCTGCCATTATATGACATGGCTGCTTTTGACTGGCTGCGGGCCTACCTAAGTTCTGACTTTTTGTGCTGACTGAGTCTTGCGTCAGCCCTATTTTTCCAGGCATAACAGAAGTCCCCTAGTTTTTAAGGTTTGAGGATCGAACCTTGGAAACTATAATTCATGCCATGACAAGACGCCCTTGAGGAAATTCTGGTGATTCTGACCTATTTGAAGAGAGGTCGAGACTGCGCTTTTGTACACGCGACCTGATGGTCTGTTTAAGGGTGAATGACCTGATCTTAGACCGTACCAGTGCTTCGATTTCGATGTTCCGAAGTTCACGACCTGATTATAGTTGCAATTCTCATCTGGACAATGAGATTGGGTTGTTTCCGAACTGGGCACTTGTTGACAATCATGTCGCTTCGCGACCAATAGGGTAGAGTCGAAGAGTCACGTTGCTTTGTGGCTAGCCAGATGAAGAGTGTTCTACGTAACGATCTCTTTAGGTGCCACTTGTTGCATTTTTGTAATGGGTATATTTAATAAAACTCCTTCTGTTCTGACAGACGTGTCCTGTGCACAATAAATGCTAGCCATGCGTATTAAATGCGTGATATGCTGAAAAGACATCCCTTATCAGAGCATTAAATGAAGATTAGGGCGCATTTAATGCGAAGGGAGAACGTGCCATCGTTTGGGTTTTTCAACGGAGAAGGGCGACGATTTGGTTTTCCTGAAATGTGACGGTCACACTTCCTCATGGATTTGCGACATGTGGTCGCGATCAACGGTGAGATACATTTTTTCGGGAAAACCAAGCGCTATTTCTTTTGCTATAAAACCCAAGTTCATTTCAAGCAATGTCACCATATTCATCTTCTCAGAGAGAGCAAGAGACTTTCGCAAACTTGGGTTCTTTGCCTTCCAAACCTGCATGTACCTGTTATTCAAAGCAGAAGGATTCGTTTTCATATTCTGAGGTAAGGATCGTTTTCTGTTTTTACTCTTTATTCCTAGTAGTTGATGAATGATATCAGTTTTCTGGTGGTTGATGGGAGACGAGATGTTTTTGCTGGGTTCGAGCCATGAATGGCAGCTTGAAACATTTGGTTAGGGTTTTTCTGGGATTTAGGAGGGGAAGTGTTTGTTTCCCTCCACGTCATCGTATGAAAGCGTACGAGGGTTAAATGACCCCTTGCTTGTCGCTTTTGCAGACTATAGTAAAATGGACCCCTCAACGACCAGATCCGAGGAAGGGACTAGTTTGTCTACGCAGGATATGGATATTCCTGGGAGTCCCGTTCGAGAGGTCTATTCGGTTCTTACTAGGGATGAGCTCGAAAGGGTGATAGAACAATACGGTATCAGCGCAGATGTTTTTCATGATGGGATGCGCACAGCTCGGTATCTGCCACGTGGGTTAGCCGCGATCTCTGAGGAAATCTTCAAGGGTGGGGGGTTGATCCCTTTCCACCCTTTTGTCAGGTCGGTCCTGGATCATTTTGGGATCGTACTGATGCAACTCACGCTGAATGCGGACATGATTGTCATTGCCATGTACATTGCGTGTCGTGAGAACAGGTTAGGCAAGCTTACTACGTTAGAGCTCGGTTGCTCGTATATTCTTAAAAAGAACAAGGACAGAGATTCCTACTACTTGTCCAGGTGACCCACTATAGCAGTGGGGATACACAGTTGCCCTAGCAATGCGGGGGCCTACGAGACGAAATTTTTCTTCTTTTGTTACGACGGCCTTTACCGCTTCTAAGAGCTGAGTAGGTTCTTTTCCCTTAACAAATTTATTGATTGTTTGTCCTTTGCTAATGAATTGTTTATTTTTTTCGTAGTTTACAAAACGACCAGCTTAGACCTGCTCGTGGACCCGGATAGAATAAAAAATTTCAGTTTCCTGCCCACAGCTAGTCGCGACGCTAGGCTACTTGTGACGATCGCGAATCTATGGAGATACGGTTTCTTCAACATAGACGCTACCTTAGAGCCCTCAACAAGTAAGCTGCGATAACCAAGTCTCGATTGTGCAACAAACTATTTTTACTAACTATTTTTACTAACGACATTCTTATGTAGTAAACATGCCTCTGAAGGTCCCGAGGTCGCCACGAGGAAGGCAGTTTACCTTCCCTCAGGTGAGGACTGCTAGGACGACCGAAGCTGCTCCTAGTGGTCCCCTAGTTGAAAGGGTAACATCGGGGGCTTCAGCGCATCCTGTCGAGACTTCCCAACCTTCGACAGGTACCCCGATCCAACCTACGGGCGCTTCCCAGCATTCGGTTGCTCGCCTGAAGCAAAAGACAATAGCCCAGCGACCCAGGAAGAGGAGACAGATTTAGACCGAAGAGTCAGAGTCCAAACCAGAGGATCTGGGTGTTCAGCCCAGAGGGTCGCAACCAGGCATTCCTACTGTTTCGGGAGCATCTTGAGCAAGGCAAAGCGAGGTTGCAGGAACTGGAAAGAGGTTGAGTAAGGAACCGGCGGGCGATACCCACTTCGGGGGCACCAGTAAGGACACTCCAGTGTTGGACTCGATGGGACAACTGCCAGATCATTTGTAGCCAACGGTCTTTGCCTTGTTGGAGTGCGAACTCGCAGAAGTATTTGAAGAGTTCGTGGGTTCCAACCATGTGGACTTGATGTCCACATCAATCCAGCACATAAGCAAGGTAAAACGAGCTGTCCTCAGCGAGGACTTTGCCCTTTCATCTTTGGTAGCGAACTAACTTATTGTTCTTGTTCTTGTTCGCAGGCTCTACTCTCCATGCAACTATCCTTGCAAAAGGTCCGACTTGAAGCTGTTGTAGGAGAGGTCGCACTGAAGGAAGAGAATGCGCAGCTTAAGCGGGACCTAGAAGCTGCTAAAGCAGAAAATGACCTATCTACCGAGTCAGCGA